TATAGATATAGATATATAGATATAGATATATATATATATATATTTTTTTTTTTTACTTTATGTAGATGTAAAGGCCAGTTTATAAAATGTCAAACTAAACAATATAAAATATTTTCAAACAATTGACTGCACCAAAGCTGTTCGCATTATTCAATTTCAGTGCAAATATTTGTCATTGTCATAACGTCTGGAAAGCTAAATGGATGGTTCAGCATCCAAACAATAAAAAAAGATAAATATTTTTGTGGTGATTCATTTTCTTTCATTTGACTGGGCTGATTAAATATTAGAAGTAAACAACCGTGGACTCAATGACTTTTATTGTATTGATAAAACACACACATTTTTCAAAACTGTTAACACTTTAGAGAGCACATTTTCACTGTTAATCAAGAGTTCATAAACTCCTAATTGTCTGCTTATTAATAGTAAGGTTGTAATAGTTATATTTAGGTATGGGTAAATATTTAAGGGATGTAGAATATGGTCAATCAGAATAAGGCATTAAAATGTGCTTTAAAAGTACTAATAATGATCTAATATGCTAGTAATCTGCATGCTAATAAGCAGCTAGTTAATAGTGAATACTGTTCTCTACTGAAGAAACAAATGCATACCGGTTTGGAATGACATGAAGGTCAGTAAATAACACAATTTTTAATTTTTATTTATTTTAATTTTAAACTATACATTTGTTTAATAAAAATAGTAATAATAATAAAAATAACTTAAAATACTGATACTTCAGTGCATTGACTGTGAGTTGTGTATTGTAATACTATACTGTGTCAATATTTTCCCACCACACCTAGTACATTTTGAACTTCCTTGTTGGGTGGATCTTCCATTTTGTCTCCTCACACCACTTATGCAGTGCATATATTTGCTCTGCTTAATGGTGGACTTGCTGTTATTGGGTTAACTAATGGAGATGTTGCGTTCTGACAGGCATGGATTCAAAACAAAGAAACACTAAGGCTGGTTAAGCAAGATAATAAGCTGCTAGTATTGTCTCTCAGTAAATATGTGGAGACAACCGTCACAGTCTCTCAGAACGTATCAGAGGACATGCCCACACAGAATGCACATTATGTGCAGAATGCACATCTTCATTTTAATAATTCCTCTTGGAGATTTGTAAGTACAGTTTGAAGATATGTTAACTGAACCAATAAACAACTATTTTAGAGATTAAGGAGATTAAAGCAGCGTAGTTACTGTGCGTTTCAACTAGTTGGTTATTAAGGTGGACTAGTTTTAGTTTGTTCTGTTTGTTTTTTCTGGCTGTATTATTTTAAGCAGTGGCTCCTCTCTCTAGGAGTTGCATCTCTAAAATTGATCTCTTTTAAGCACCGTCGGTGCAGCCATCACAACACTGCTCTGCCAATAAATCTCCCACCGTCAACACATTTCAAGTTAGACTTCACTTTTTAAATCACTTTGAGTGAGCCGTATTCCCATTATACGTAATATAAACATAATACATATACCTAATGTCTCTGTGTTTTTTGTTTTATAGATAGACTATGGTAGTTTTGGTAATTAAAGCTTTTATGTAGTATAGTGCTATTTTAGTACTATATATACTGTTGTATATATTGTATTTCTTATATTGTCTTTTTATATGGTCAGTTTTATTTAATTTAATTTATTTGTAATTTTGTCTTTTTTTGTATTTCTGTTTAGCTTTAATTTGTATTTATTTCAGTTTTAGTTTTAATAGTTTTAGTTAGGGATGCACCGATACTGGTATCGGTATCGGGTCTAATTCTGAGCTCCTGTACTCGTACTCGTACTCATTAAAAGGCCCGATACCAAACGCCGATACCACATGTGATAAGTGCCATATTCAGACAAAGAAACACCGTCAACAGAACAACAGACAGCAGAATTGAGTTATTATTAGAGATTAAGGATGTCTACGAAGTATATGTATGCAATTAATATAATATTAAACATTCAGTATTAACTTCTGTATAGCTGATGTGCGCGAGCTGATAAGCAAAGCACGCTGAGTGGATTGTGCGCGCGGCGG